AAATCGGAACAGTAGCTATATTGGACTGATTTGGATCTTGGAGCCCTGCCCCCATGGATATCTGTCGACTTTGCCAATGAGGACTTTCCAGCACCCGTCGAGGTGTGTCCACCGGTCCACGACCTGTCGGGATGCAGGGAGGGCTCTCAAGTATTTCTTTCTTTCGGTAGTAATATTTTCTTCTCCTCATCGTTAATTCTTTCTTTATAACATCCTGTCTCATTCTTCTACTCCTTTTATTTCACTGGCCAACTGTATGCAGAACGCCCACCCATGTTTGCCGTGCATGGCGAGCCGTGCCGGAGAGAATGTGTCCCGACGGTTAAGGGGTCTATTTGCTTCCGAACTAGTCTCCTTGTGCTACGAGCGGCTTTGCACATAGGGATACGTTCTTTACTTATTGTGGGGAACATTCCTTGTAGGTTTTAACACACAAGCTTTGGCCTCGGACTCTTCTAGACGGGCGGTTGGGAGCTAACCCACTCCTGATCAATCTGCTCCGACTAGATCTTGTACTGAACGCCAGGGTGAGTGGGAGGATCCTTGGCAGGGTAGCGTTGTGACATCTCAGCCAGCTAAAGCCGAAGATAGATCGAAAAAACCTTTAAACGTCAATTAGAAATAAGGCGTATAACAGAAAGGGGATAAGACCAAAGACCGAGCTTGGGAAGGTAATGATGTTCAATTTTGCAATTTGTAGTCCCTTGGTGAGTCAAGCTGCAATTCTAGAAAAGTGGTGGTTGAAGAGATTTGCCGCTTTTTCCGATTATTGGCTTCTTTTTCATTATCCTTTAAAACATTTTCCACTAAGTAACGAGGTGATGTATTTTTAACGATATTCAACATTGCTTTAATTTTGTTACTAGCGTTCAAAATATTCTGATTATTTTTGCCTGAACTATTACTTTCCTTAAAATTCTTTTGTATTCTCGGAAGTAGACACGAAACTGGGCAATACGTTATGATGTTTAAAATAAAGTAAAGCGTACGTTTGTTTTTACACGATGTTCTTTTACCTTGTGTGATCCAAGTATTATTTTTCCGTGAAATATTTAATTTTCTCTTTTTGAGAGGAAAGAATGCGAATGCATTAAAGTGAAATGAAAGTTTTGCGAAAAATATATTTTTCATCTCTGTCAGCAGCGTTATAAACTGTCCCCCATGATTCCTTCAGCAAGTAGTCCGTAAATAATTTTATCACATACTTTAATAACATTATTTGTGAATGTAACGTCCCTCCTGTGTGAATGCTAGTTTCAAGCGTAATTCACACAGATTTTTCACGTTGAGAGTACTGAGTGGTCGGGAGGAAAAGTGAGGGGCAAATGATTACAAGCAAGTTCGTTGCAATATAGATTTAATATTTATGCCCTAACCGTCACCATTTTACTTAATTTAGAGAGTAAGTGAAATGGGAGAGAGAGAGGGAGGGAGAGGGAGGGGATCGCAATGCGCAGGCCTTGGAAACAAGCGCACGGTCAACGCTACCTTGATGTTTTTAAAAACCACCTGCTTCCTCTAGAGGCGACCGGGGCCGTCGTGGCAACGGCGGCGGTGTCTTCGGCAATCTTCGATTCGCCCCGAAGTCCGCCGGGAATTCCGCTCCTTCGGCGACCAACTCCTCTGTCCCAACGTAACGGCCGATGAATTCGCCGGGATCCACCCCCAGCCGGTACGAATAATGTCTCACGGGTACTGGAACGCACGACGCGTGATTGATGTTCGTCGGCTGTTCTAGTCTTTTCAGCGACCTTCCTCAACTTTGCGCGGATGTCCGTACAGTACTGCCCACTGTTATATTATACCAGGGCGGGAATATGACACGAGTCCACCGGCCACACGATTTCCTGTCTTATTGGTTTTTATCAGTTCTGGTGCGGAATTCCACTTTCACTAATCATCTGATTGTTAATCCTCATCAACCCGGTTCCACACTCAACGGCCACACTCAGTCCGAAGTGCACTTAACAACGACAATAAATCTCTTGGACGCAGCACTGCCCGTCCGTGCTTCACTCGAGGCGTCTCCGCGCAACACTAACCGTCGCTTGCTTCGCCGTATCCCTCCCGATTTGACCGTTGGTGGAGGCGGCGGCGGCGTTACTGCGCTGATCAACTCCAGTACTTTATTTTAATTATAATTAGTGATCAATTTTAATTATTATAATACAGAAACGTTCTTCGTTTCAATATATATGACGAACCCTGCCCTTCACACAATGTAGAACTACCCGAATGGTTGTCCGCTTGCGAGCTGAAAGAAATCACAGGGCAGTGGGATCTTTTGGGGTGTTGAGAGCCAAACCAAACAACAAACATTTAAACAGGGTTTAATTGCTTCGAAAAAACCCGCTTCGTCTTTACAATTCACACACAAATAAACAATACACAATATAATTTACACCAAAAATTGAGACTGAAATGGTGGCCCTAATTTCCACTGGGAATTCCCTTGGAAACTAAATGTCTAAATCTATGCTATTCTTTTTACATTGCACATGAAACCAAAATTTACTATTTACGATCTCCTCTTTCAAAATATCACATGCAAACAAAAAGATGTATGCAAGTGCACCACTCTCATTTACAATTTAACTGTGGCTGAACAGAATAATGAATGTCCTATGTACAATATTTTCTGCAGGTAATAGTGCGTCAAAATGGCTCTTACTATGATACTGCAATTTGTTGCCACACGTGTCCTCAATTTCTTCACACTTTCCTGTACTAATTTCCCCGTGGATGGACGTGTCGATGATGAGAGAGGGTAGTGAGGATTGGGAAGGCAAGGAAACTCATTGTCATAATCTAAAGAAAACAATCTGTTTTCAGTCATCATTGGTAGTGGTGATTGTGTTTTTGCTTTCGCGGATGGACAGTTGGAAGTTTCTGCGGTGTTGCCTATTGTCCAACGGTCTGTGTTTTGAACGACTCCTTCGAGCCTTCGGATATGTTCATCTAAATTATTGTTTACGTGTGTGAAGGCTTTCAGAAGATCGGCTTTGAGAGTGTATAGGGAAGAAAGTGTATGGCGAATAGTAGCCATGTCACGAATGCGTATCAAAGTGCGTGGTAAATATGAGAATAAATAAATAGATAAGAACTCTTTATGTAGAAAGTATCTCCTCAACCAATATCCTTTTAATTTAAGTGTATTAAATTTTTTAAATTTAAGTCACGTATTTATTTGAAAAATAACCGGAATGTGATTCTAATTAGTATTTAAATGTGGTTGATTAATTAAATGCGAAAAAATTAAATGCGTTTAAAGTAATATATCTAAGCTGCAAACTAGTAAATACAATTAGATTACTATACTTTACTTATTGTAAGGCCACGGAATTTGTATTTTATTTTCGACACTTTGAAACGCAAAGTAAAAGTTTTTCCGTTACTGTTATAGACGAAACTTCTATAAAAGCAAATCTAAATTAATAGAGCAAATAATGTTTAGAAATCTATAAACGCGTTCAAGTACAAATACATTGTAAGTTTGTCCGTTACCCCGTTATTAAACTAATATTTGTATTACTTCTTTTCCACTGCAGGGACGTTCATTAAGTTGTAATATGAAGAAGAGGCGATTTTAGGAAGCAGGGTGAAAGGTCTCCTCGAACTGATTCGCCTTTACTCCTGCCCGGCAAGCAATGCCGCCTCGGTCGGCGGCAACTGACGGAACTCGTGCCAGCTGGCAGTCTTAAATTCCCTCCCCCGCAGTGTAGAAAAGGAGGCTGCACTGGTCAATGATGACTATATGACTTGAGGATCAAAGATAGGAATTTTTGGGGGTAAATACCCGACCGAAATCCACGATCCAAATGCCCAATTCTCCCTGAGGAAGGACGCAGCGTCTCCCGGATAGCCAAGCAGCGACGTCCTGGCTCTGAAGATGTTTTCTCCTTTGAGACTCGTTACTAGCATTAGAGCTCAGGGTGTTCTTAAATCAAAATGCGGGTTAATGCCAAGATCTCAATTTGACAGAAAAAATGTATGACTTGGTTTGGGAGCAATCTGAAACACTTGTCTAGCTATTAAAACCTCTGTTGACTACTTTGTACAACGTGTGACCGTAGAAGTACTCCGTAATGTAGGTAAAAGCTTCTGCTGAAAAAAATAATGGTGCTGATGCTTTTGTTTCAAACATAACTTGTGGGTTTTCATTCTATTCATTGAATCCTTCTGAAGCATAATCCATCCATCACCTTTGTGTCGTTAAGTAATATTCAATTCAGTGACGTTTTCGATATGGTTTGTGGGCGTTTCATGTAATTCAACCGATTCATGTAATATAAAACGCCTAACGAACACGTGTTAACGAACAGGTGAACACCCAATTTACTGTAATACATTTTGTACAAGAGTGAATGAAAATCAAATAAGTGTTGCTGTCGCCGAGGGGGCTAGGCACGTGCCGACTCGGCGCCTGGGGCTGGGACGTGTGTTCGATTCCCGCCGTGGGCATGGTTGTTTGTCCCTTGCCTTCATGGATGTGTGTTGTCGCGGAAGGCCTTGCGAATGTTGACCACAGGCCGGACAGCCACAAGTGTGTCAGTGTATAGTGTAAAGGTCAATACGTATTCCCATGAGGAACATTTTGTGTACCCGACGCGGTTAGTCGAAAATTGGCTATCTTGATGAAACTGGAATCTTCTGAAGCTGAAAAAAAGAAAGTAGTTTGGTCATGGAGATCTCGAAGACTGATGCATTGATGACTCTAACTAATGTTACTGTAGAACATAAAATGAGTAAGTTATAGCATGTGCATTAAAACGATATTTTCAGTGGTGCCTTGTGAAATCCCTAAAAGGAATTATTTGAAACTGTTTGTTCCTATTAAAGAGGTTTTTACATGTTATAATGTATCCCGTTATAAAAATCACTGCAGACGTTCATGTGAATATTTTATTGAATATTATTATTTTAAAATATTAGTTTAGCAGCACGTTTTTAGTTGTCTGAATTTCTGCATTATGAAATTAATTTGTCCTGTTGGTTTTTAGGTAGTTCGAAAGAATTTTTTTATTTAATTTGTGAAATGATGTCTCCTCTGCCCGATGATCGTCCATCAGCCAGCAAACTCTTGAAGTACAATAGATTGTCCAAAATGTACCACAAGCGCCGTCTGCATGCCTTCTTCACTGATGTGGTAAGTCCACACTATCCTAACATCCTTACAAGTCTCCTGAACTGTTTATTGTCGCTGGTGGTATTGATGAGTGAGTGACAAATTCAACGGAAAAAGATCAAAAGTCAGGCTTGATGTAGTTTGGGCCACCTTATGTCCCTAGCTTTTACATCAGGCGAGATGAGAGCTGCAATTCATAATATCGTTGAAAACCACCTTTTTGTCAGTTGGGAACAAACGTATATTCCAAAAGGACTATGCTTGAATAACACTGGTAGATAAACGAAGGATTATGAAACCAGGTTTTCGCAGCAAGTCGGTGTCCGCTTGATACTACGCGTCCTAGGCACAGATGCCAACGTTCCAATAATCATGCTGCAACTTTCATCAATGTGAAATGCATAGGACGTGGCATCTCCTGGACAGCCAAGTAAAAACAAAGGATGAGTTTCTTCCTCACAACGTTAGTCATGGAATGGACTATTTGTCCAGCTTTCAATCCTACGGAGAATGTTGTGGAATCTTGTCTAGAGCTATTTATAAACGTGGGAAATAATATGGCGATGTTAAAAATTATCTACTTTGTCAGCATGGAGAAATTTGCAATTGTCCGCGTTAGAAAAGTTTGAGGATTGTACCAAGACGTAAGTCGTATGAACGCAGGAATCATGTCAAACAGGACGTTTATTGTACATTAAAAAGAAGTAGACTTTTATCCAACTGTATTCCAATCTTCAGTTGTTAGCAAAATAAACAAGAATAATTCTAAATGTTCCATAGGTTCTTTCAGCAGATCATGTTCCGGAAATAGTTAAGTTTTAAAACCAGTTACAAAAAAAATTATTGACTTGACGTTTCCTCTAAAGCCGAAGATAGACCGAAAAAGCTTCGTTTCCTCTTCATGGCATGCGCCGAGGAAGAAAAATATTTTTAAATTGTTAGTGCTGACCGTTTGGCGCGCGCTAAAGATGAAACTTGTGGAAAACTGCAAAACTGGTGCGACAAAGGAGCGGTACCATTCTTTTTGAAGTATGAACGGATATTCAAATCGAAACAATTCGGGAAACAGAGATTCCCAACCTCCAGATGGAAGTGACTACTCACCCAACACAACCTTTGCGAGGGAGTGGCCACCGACGAGGATCTTGCTGTTTCATTTTTTAAGAACCAGCGTGTGTCACATTTACAGGATGAAGAGGAGCGAGCGTGGACGAGAACTCCCACTTCCACTCTTATTCTGACATTCGATCTTCCATCTCTCCTTTGAAAATAGCTCTTGTGGTGTTTATAACCTCAACGTACGGCAATACGTTTCTAATCCTTTGCTGTGTTTTAAGTGACAAAGGCTCGAAGCAATGCCCTACGTCGCTGGGGTGTCCTTCCCTGAGGCCCAACGCGCGTGTCAGGCAAGGACTCCTGTGGATGTTTCTCGGTCCTTCGGGAGCGCCGCGAGAGCTAGCGCTAGCAGCGAGATCCCCTCCAAGTAGGGCCACGCAAATGCTTCGGCTCCACAGTCTGGATGCATCTGGAGAGAGGAGCTGTCATGCATCTATGCTCCTTTTGCTTATTGCGAAACGTGTGTTCTCCCTCTCCGGGAGTCTTGGTGCTGCACGCCCCTTCCATTTCCGCCAGTCATTGTTTGGACTTTTTTGCCTAAACTAAATTGGTATCTTCTAGTGCCGTGTTAACGTAGGGGCCCAGGGCCCCCAATAGTTCTTAAAAATTTTGAATACTAAGTTTAAAGAAATTGAAACTGTATAAAAAATGATGTATAATTAAACAATGAGCAAAAGATTGGCCTAAGCGAATGATACACGCGCATCATTTGATAAGTGGTTAGATTATGAGAGGCGCGAAAGAGAGAACTTGTAAGGATGAAGCGACTGCAGTGCCAAGGTGGCGTGGTGTATTAAAGTAACGTGCGAAATGAATCGGGAAGTGCAGGAAGGAACATGTGAGAAGAAAAAGTTGTTGTTAGAATGGTGGATATGTCCGAGAGATCGGGAGTAAAAATGATACATAATTATACAAAATATTTGTACATAATTATTGAAAACTGTGGTATATGCTAATATTAGAGGATTGTGCATACCGCATAAAATCCCTTTGTAGCTCTGATGAACACTTAATAAAAGCCGAAACATTGACAATTTACTTGATGTTTTTGTACTGACCTAAACTCAAGAATATTCAATTATATAAATCAAAGTTGACAAGAAATCAAGCACATTTTCTTTTTTCAGTTTTGCTTTGTCAAATCGGTTTATTTTAGAATTTGCCTTCAGGTGTAGTGGGACATTGCAGCATGAACCTGTTCAGCAGACAGGGAGGAGGGAACATATTAGATATGGAGGAATAATGTAAGAATTGTGTTTGTATCAATATTTTTCATGTCTGTTAATATTGCACTGAAAAATAAGTGTTGTTTCATACACCTGAAGGTGGAAATATATATTCTGAAATGTCAGCACCCTGATTTGTTTTTGTTTTTTATTATGTAGCTTCATTAGCTAAATCAAATTATCCAGAATATTCCGTACCAAGATAATATACTGTTGTTCTGTAACAAATAATGCTACGTTAATGATGTAATTATATTTTAAATTTTCTGTATATTTTATGTAATGCTTTTATGGGGGTTTGGAATTTCATCACAGTTGGTTTTGCGCTGTTAATAAGGACGAATAATGGAATTGAGATGTTTTCTTGTTGATTAATGTGTTGTGGATTGTAATGTGTTCTTCATGAGGTCGTATGTTTCTGTAGACTTCAACTATGAAATCAATTTGCAAATGTATGGCTATGCATTGTGGAATAAAATTTCTCAAGCCACTGGTATCGCGGATGTGCCCCACAGCCTGGAAGCGGAAGGCAGCATTAAATCAGCCTGACTTGAGAAGAATTGGTAAGTTGGGGTATAAAGTACAAGTTATTCTTCAACCAAACATTATTCATTAATTGTCTTTGTGAAAAAGAGACGATGAAGGAATATTTTGGTTAGACTGTCAAAATTTCAATAAACTGACAAATTTTGATGAATTTGTCAAATAATCGTAGGAAGTAAACACTGAAATAACTTTTGTTTCTTGATATTTCATGAATGTGTCCTGCTTATGGTTTGTATTTGATATTTTTGTAAATGATGATGCCAGTTTTGATATAGACAATTTTTGTTTTGATGAAACAAGTAGGCAATTGTTTTGAACCCGCTTTTTGATTGAGAAAGCGTTGACAAAACTCAAATGAAACGTTCTCATCTTAAACTTTCAGTTACTACGTTTTTCGCAAGAGGAAGATGATTCTTCCCTCATTCTAAGGTTTCATTGTTTTGTGGACATTGGTTGTATTTTCAATATGAAAAGCCACAATGATATAAAATATTGTATCAATAACTTTGGGTAATGATTTTATTGTGCAAAAGTTGTGGGAAACTGATGTGCTGAAGCATTTCCTGTCAGCAGGGCATCGATGTCAGGATCCGCCTCCTTTAACACGGCCAATCACCACCCGCACAAAGGAGGAAGAGCGGCTATTTCACCTGCGCTTGTCAGCTTGCAAGAAAAGGTAGGTGGGGAACTTGCAATATTGTGCATTGAAGTACTTGCCCTGGTTTTGATTTCTTGCCCCTCTCGTTTCTACTCTTTGGTTATTATGGTTTGGTTTAACAATTGAATCTGAATACTTGCTCTACGTTTTATTTTATCTTTAGCACAGGGAACACGCGCGAAGCCAAGCTACTCGCTACTGATAGTGAAAGCTCAGTTCCATTCGCCGTGACTAGATCTAGTCACCACGAAAGTCTTGCTGTAAAAATCAGACGCCCATTCGTCCATTCCTGTCGTTGCCGACGCTACTTTGGTTTGCCAGTGTCTGGTGCCTTCGCATCCCCATGCGAATCCTATCTGCGCGGAATGGCCAATATCACAACACGCGTAGTATGCTCAAGATGTGGTGTGTTGCATTCTTGTGGATCTTAAAAACTTTGTTTTTGTTAAAACATCAATGTTTTGAAAACCGCGGTATCGATGTCGTAACCTTAGTGCTTAGGTGAATGCATTATACGAGCAAAAAAAAAACAACAATAAAAGCTGATCATTGGCGTGCAATGATGTTCCATTAATGTAATTTTTATTAACAATTAGTTCTGCCAGATCTCAGCATTGAAAAAAGAGCACACAGTGATTGCTCAAAGGAATCCTGATGTAGACAAAACAAATGTGCTAGTGTATATTGCAACTTCTGTACACGATAAAACGTTATCTTAATTCTTCCCTTCCATGTTCGTTGTACCAATCATTACAAAAACCTTTTATTTGAATTTATTTTCTTGCATAAATCTGGTTTAGAAATTATGTACGGAAACCTCTGTGTGAATGATACATTTTTAAAGTTATATTTGAGATTCGAAATAGCTCCCACAGTTTTTACGGAGAGATTATTTCTTGCATTACTTCATTGTACTTGCATAAAAGAAAAAAATATTTCCTCCTTACCATTAAGCAATGGGACAAAAAAGTACGGTGCCAACTCTAATATCACCAACTTCTGATCGAGACCCCATCTCGATCAGGTTTTGTCTAGTTTCCCTGATCCATTGAGCAAATGCTGAGATGGCCCCTTGTTTTGCTTCTGTACGTAAATGTAGCTTCACTTTGCGCACGTTTTGTTGAACTCTCCTTTTGCTTGGAATGGTTTCAGTAGAGGTAAGTGCAAGTTAAGCTATTTTGTTAGCAATGCAGAAAAATCATAATTGCAATTCGTGTACCGATACAAATAATTTTTCTATAACTCTGAAGCAAAAATGTCTATTTTTTTCAAACATTGCAAATCTCGCGATTTTTTTAAAAATTTATTTTTATTTATTTTAAACTTTTGCTCATCTTTCAACTATTGATAGTTAAAATGATGGGAAGGGATTCTGGAACTCAAGAAAATGTGCGCAGATAATCTTCTCCCCCTTACGTTACATACAGTTTTTACTTTATTTTTACTAAATGAATCTAAATCTCTAATCTCACCAACGTACTTATAACCTACTCTAAATATCTGTATTGTCAATTTGTTTGAAGTATTGTGCCTATTTTAAGCAAGATATTTTTAGCAGTGCCTGTTATGATTAAACAAACACTTGTTTCTTTAATACAAAATAAAATGTTCATTGAGAAAACGAGTGTGAACGAAACCTTGTTGCCTTGTTACATGAGCTTTCAGACTAGCACGCAGTACGGCGTCACCGTCTAGCGGTGCTATTTCTGTACTAACATACATCTCCCTCACAAGATATAATTTTTAAAAAACATTATACAAATATTCTTTCAAAATACAACATATTGCTTAAACATATTCTTAGTAATACTTTGGTTTGTTTGCTATCTACCTGATCTTAGCCTTTGGATAGCTAAGGATTGCCTTTGGATTCGTTGGATTACATTCGGCCTGTGTTTGTGGTTCGACTACTTTTGGTGTACCTGGTTGATTAATTTCAGTGAGAGGTGGACTGATTACACCATCCTGTGTATTGACAGAAATATCGTTTTGATCTGTATTTGTTTGTGTGTATTCTTGTGTATATGAATTTTTAAGATATCTGTTTATAAGATCATCATAACTTTCGTTGTCATTCTAATTAAATCTGTTAACTTCAAATTTCCTCAAAAATCTGCGATTTCTCACATAAATGTGGTCATTTCTATCTAACTTAACAACAAATGATCTAGGTCTGCTTTGATCAACATCAATAATGATCGCAATACCCTTCCCTGGTATCTGAACCATAGCTTGATAATTTTTCTTTAGTGCTGTTAAATCTTTGGCGTTCCTAATATAATATTGCTTTTCTCTTAGCTTTTTCTCTTCATTCACTTTTTCGAATTTTACATCTTTATATTTTGGCTAGAGCATTTCTCGCTTCGTTGGCAACATACCATTCAATCGTCTTCCGAACAATAATTCAGCAGGAGAAAGAAGACCTCTACCTAATGGCGGGTGTGTATACTGAAGCAATGTAATGTACATGTCTTTCTTGTCAAATAATGCTTTCTTTAAACGTGACTTAACAGTTTGAACGTGTCACTCTATTCGGCCATTGGACTGCGGATACCTTGGAGTGCTTGTCCTGTTCACAATTTTCCAGTCGTCTAAAAATGTTTGAAACTTGATTCACAAACTGTACATCATTGCCTGTGTATAGAAGTTCCGGTTTACCATGTCTGGAAAAAATAGATTTTTCATGATGTATTACATTATTGTACGTAGTGTTATCATTTAAACAACATACTTCTGAATACGCGTCTACTATTAACAATATTTTTTTTCTTCGAGGTCGAACAAATCAGCAGCTATTGTGTGCCATTGTCGGTCAGAAATTTCACGAGTTATCATTGTTTCTTTGTGATTACTATATTGGAAAGTTAAACAAGTTGGACAGTTCCTAACGACATCTTGAATATCTTTGTCAATTTTAGGCCAAAACACATTTTCAACTGCCCATAAAATCGTTTTCTCAATTCCTATTCAAGAGCATAGGCTATCCATCATGTCTCGTCTCATTATTTTGGGAATTACCTATTAATCTCCTCTGTAGAGTGTTTCTTTGACTACAATTCATCTCTGCAAACCCAGTATGGCTTGATATTGTCATTTACCTGTCCTTTGGAATTTGGCCATCATTCCAGAATTACTGTCATCAAGTTCCGTAATTCCTCGTCTTTGGCTTGAACTTTCTCGAACTTTTTTGGAGAAATATTGTGAAATAAAGTTAACTTGCGCATTTCAGTCATTTTCGTTGACTTCAAAATTTTTGTCATCATAACTGGCTTGATAGAGCATTGATCAAATATAATTGGAATCCGGACTTGTATTTTGCTGTAAATTGGTATGGCTGCAAGCTGATACGAAGGCGTTGTAGTCACATTGGCGTTTTTTCTAGATCCGTTTTGAAGATTGACTCTAATGGTCTGTGATCTCATTCTACTGTAAATTATTTACCGTAAAGATATTGGTGAAAACCGTGGCGCCCGAATACCATGACTTGCATTTCTTTTTCAATTTGTGCATAGCGTTGTGTATCAATTAAAATTTCCATGCGTACACTACTGGTTTCCCATCCTGGAGAACTGCTTCCAATCCGTCCTTTGAACTATCTACCGACAAAGTTTCTTTACATCGTAGAATTGTAAAACGGAACTGGTTGAGAAAACTTCTTTTAACTGTATGAATTCTTTCCGGTGGGCGTCTGTCCACATCCAATGCACATCTTCTTTAATTGTGTCAAATAGTACTGATGTCAGACAGATTGGGTATATTCTTAGAAAAATATGTAATCATTTCCAAAACTCTGCTGAGTTACGCGACGTTCTTTGGTGTTAGTATCTGTTTTATTGCTTCCACTTTGTCTGTGTCAGCTTTAATTCCATCGACAGAAATGGGTCCCATGGACTTGACATGATTCATACAGTATTGTATCTTGTTTGGACTAAATCTTACTCTTTCTCTAGTTGTTGAGAGCACGATTCAAAGTTACTTCATGATTTTTCTTTGTCTTCGAATATATAATATCATTAATGTACACGTTTGGAATATCTTCGAAAATTTCGGTGAAAGTTCTGTAGAAAATCTTTGGAGCTATCCAAATGGAAGCCTAAGAAAACGATACCTGCCAAAAGGTGTGGCGAATGTTCGATGCTGTATCTGACAACTTTTGCCAGAATCCTCTATGTGCATCGAGAATAGTGAAACAATTTGAGCCACCAATTTCTGCCGTAATTTCTTCAAAAGTTGGTATTTCATACCTTTATCTTACCAAAGCTTGATTTAAATGAAAAAGGTCCAAAGAAATCCTTAGGGATTTATTTGGTTTATGCACTAAAACCAATGGGTTAGCAAATTCTGAGGTCTCGGTCATTTTAGTGAAGATACCATCATCTTCCATTTTACATTACTTTCTAAATCTGTCATTATTTGATAATGGACCCTGCGACACGGAACTGCGACTGCTTGATAACCTTTTAGTTTGAAATAATGAGTTTTATTGTTAATCCTTCCTATACTTTGGAAAACGTAGTGATGTTTTTTGCATAAAATTCGATTCATTGTCAACTTCTAAAGCTTCCACAGTTTTTCTTACCAAATCTAATTCTTGTAGACCTCACAGACGTAATTTTTTATTTTGTTGATTTTGCATTCGAAACTATTGTTGAAAACATACTGTACTTACGACTGCGCCATATATATACAGGTGTCCCATTTAACTTGACAACTTGAAATAACTCTAAAAAATTCGCGATGTACGAAACATTGAGCCGCGACCAAACCTTGACAATTTTGAAGGGGGAATCATTCTATGCTAAAATCATCACCATCCCCCTGTCCCCAGCGGGTGGGGTGGTGGGCAGCATTGAAATCTTATACAGGAACCCCCTTTTTTCAGATTCGGATTCTACGGTCCAAAATACATAAGTTTTGTCTGAAACTTTTCTGATTTGTGATAGGTGGCGCTGTAATCGCAAAAAATTGATTTCCGACTGTAATTTGAGTGGTTTAGAGCGTGGCCTCAGGGCACACCC